AGCTATGAAAATGTCATTCTGAAGTCCATTATTTTATACAAATGGTACATGCTGATGAAATTTTAAAAAGAAAGATTCAAACTAAAATATGACCATTTTAGTTCATTTGGCTTACTTTGTGGACAACCACAAAAATGTACATATACCTGCTCTTTGGTGCAAAAGCATACAAATAAGTTCTGTGTAATCCAAAGTACAGGATGAAAAAGAGACTCATATACTACTCTCATGTTCTTTTGCAAAGGTGAGGACTCGACTTTCTGTCATTTCTTGAGTAGTGTATGACAGCCTGGGCCTATAGACGCCTAGCAGGATAGAATTCAGTGGTACTTCTGTAGACTTCTTTTCCAGTTGGATGGAAAATACCTAGAGATCTTTGGATATTGAGGCCATCAGGGGAACTATTCTACTTTCCTTAGAAGCATATGCTCAGAAACTAGGAGGAATAAATCATTGTCTTCCTAAATCATGCCCCTCCAAACACTTGGAGTCTATCAAATCACAATTGTGGACATTTATTGCTTCAATTTTTTTCTTTTCTTTTTTTAAATGAGTTTATTTGTGTGCCTGTGTGAGTTAATATGTACCACATGTGTGTAGGAGTCTGATGAGGCCAGAAAAGGGGGTGTTAAATCCTCCATTCCCTAGAAATGGAGTTACAGTGGACTGTGAGCCATTGTGTGGGTGCTGGGAACTGAACCTGGATCCTCTACAAGAACAGTAAGTTCTCTTAACCATTGAGCCATCACTCCAGCCTTTAGCAACTGGATTTTGTTTGGATATATGTTAACATTATCCTGAGTTGATTTTCAATTTATAAGAAATATGTTCTTAAGGAAGTATTTATTCATTATTTTCTGTGCTATCTGTTGAAAACATATAACAAAAAGATATTTATTATTAGAAAGCTTCTAAAAAAACATTTGTGAGGGTGATGGGAGCAGAAAAGAAGTTTGTTTTTTCCAATACTTGATGGACAGAGTGTTTTCTATGTGCCAGGCACTGTTTAAAGTACTATTTTCAAAAAAAAATTTAAATTTATTTATTTTTATTTTATGTGTATGAATGTTATGTCTGCATGTATGTAGGTGCACTCATGTCATGCAGTGCCCAAGGAGGTCAGAAGAGGGCACTGAGTTCCCTGGAACTGGAGTTATGGATGATTCGTAACTGCTGTGTGAGTGCTGGGATTCGAACCCTGGTCTTCTGCAAGAACAGCCAGTGCTCTTAACTGTTGAGCCATCTCTATAACCCACTGTTCAAAATACTGTAAATGAGTAAATCTTTGAATCTTCAGATTCCTATGACATAGGTCAGACATTTTACCATTGCTTTTCAGATGAAGAAGTTGAAGCACAGGGTATTTGGAAACTTTCCTAATCTTGGTCAGTGGTAAAGTTAGGGGACATCATAAAGCTCAGTTACATCAAGTTATATTACATCTCAAGTTGCGAAGTATATGTGTATGCACATTGCACATATACATCTGTCCTAGTTAGCTCTAGCTGTCAACTTGACACAACCCAGAGTTTCCTGGGAGGAGAGAACCTCAATTAAAGAACTTCCTAGGTAAGACTGACCTGTGGAAATGTCTGTAGGGCATTGTCTTTGATGCAGAAGGGTCCAGCCCACTGTGGGCCGCATGATCCCTAGGCAGTTGACTCTGTGCTGTATAAGAAAGCTATCCAAGCAGGATCCTGTGAATGAATGAACCAGCAAGCTGCATTCCTTCATGGTTTCTGCTTCAAGTTCCTCCTCAAATTCCTGTCCTGACTTCTCTCAATGATGGAATGTGACCTGGAAGTGTTAGCCAAAGAAATTCTTTCCTCCCTAAGTTGCTTTTGGTCAGGGTATTTTTTATCACAACAACAGAAAGAAAATGAAAAAAATATCAATAACAATGGGGAAAAAAAACCAGCCACTAAGCCTGCTGGGCATAGTAATGCCACCTGTATTCAAAGCACTTGGGAGGTTAAGGCTTTAAGATTTTGCATTGAAGATCCTAGCTCAAGAGAAAGTAAAATAGTAAACTGGGCGATCATGGAGGGTGGGGACAGTTACGGGAAGCTTCATGATTTGAAATTTCAAATTAAGCGAATTATATCACTAGTTCTGTCCTGTTGATGTCCATTAGTACAGGAGAGTTCAAAAAAGCAGGCAAGAGAGAAATTTGTGTATTTGATCCATTCTTTTTCAAACTTCCTTGACAGTGAAGCCATTCTTTTCCCAAAGACCACAACACAAATCTTTTAGTACATGTATTGTTGTATAATTTGGGAAATGTTAGTTTAGGGTCCCAACCCATGTTTTAGCTACTTGTAGACTGCCCTAGAGTCCTTTGTTGCTTTCAAAACCCACAGAGGATCTGATAAAGTCACAAGAGGCAGTGTTATTGGAAATCATAATGGATAGGATTTGTGGAGGTTTTAGAATTTGAGTGGACTTCACTAACACTTGGCTACTTGCCCAAGTTTTACTTATTTTGCTAAACTTTCTCTGCAGGCACAATTGAATTCCTGTCAACTGTAGGCAAGTGTTAGATTAACTAGATTGGTTATCTATGTTCAGGCCAAGGAGTATTTAAAATCAGAAGAAAAAGTCTTATTTTGTCCCGGGTCTTATCAATGTATTCTTAGTACCCCAGGAACATGATCTTCTTTCTTTAATCATTTTTGACAGTGTTTTGTCCTTAATATAAGGATGATTTTATGACCAGCCTGGCTATTTGTAGATATAATTATGCTCAATGCCTACTATGGGTCTTGTGTTTTCAGTTGCGCAAAGATTGATGTAGCCTACAGAAAAGTACATCCCAATCCCCATTTATAGGTTTTTTTTTTCTTAAATGATGCAGGAATTTCGTTTTTTTCAATACCCTCATGTTTATCTGTCATTGTGACAAAAATATCTGAGAAAATCAACTTCTGAAAAATAAAAAAACAAATTTGGCTCATAGTTTTAGAGATTTCAGCCCTTAGTCATTTAGCCTTTTGGGATCATGGCATTGCAGTACATCATGGTGGGAGGCCATGACAGAGGAGGCTGCTCATTTCATGGCAGCCAAGAAATAAAAGAGAAAGTATGACTGGGCCCCCAATATGCCCTTCAGGGAAATATCTTCAGTGAACTCACATTCTTCCATGAGGACTCACTTTTTATTTTAATTAATTAATTAATTAATTAATTAATTAATTAATTTTTGGTCTTTTTTTGAGACAGGGTTTCCCTGTAGCCCCAGCTATGTAGATCAGGCTGACCTTGAACTCACAGAGATCTGCCTGCCTCTGCCTCCCAAGTGCTGGGATTAAAGGTGTACGCCACCACGCCCAATGAGGCCTCACCTTTTAAAGGTTGTATTACATCCCAGTAGCTCCAAGCTGGTTCTAATGGGAGCCATTCCAGGTCCAAACTGTATAAAGCTCCTTTCTGTTGGAAATTGTGTTATATCTATTATATATTATTCAATTTTGACCTTTCAACCCCCCTAGGAGGTAGGCATTACTATTATTTTATACAGGAGGAGAGTGAGGCTTAGAGAGATTAAATTATCTGTGTACGTTTAATTAGCAAGTGATAATGAAGCATTTGAAATTCTAGTCTATCTGGTTCTAAATCCCACACTTTTAATATTCCACCACATTGCTTCCTTAAAAGGGGAAATATTGAAGATTAAGTCAGCATTTACAAGTTTAGAATTTAAAGCAAGTCAGGTAATAGAATCACTGACACACTATTGCTTAGATAATGAAGACAGGGTAATTTTCAATTTGTGTTACCCAAAGCTTAAATTTTTTCCTCTAGTAATCTGTCTGGCTTAATTGTAAAAAAGTAAAAAACCTATTATGGACTGTTTTGTGGCTAAAAAGCTCCTTATTTAGTCATTACTCAAATATCTGTCTGTGATATTCCCCTGGCAGCAGGAATCTTCTCTAGGATGTTAAGCAATGGCTGTACTTTGTGTCCTTCTGTAGGACAGATAGCAAGTGGTAGCTGAGGATCTCTTTGAAAATGTGTGTGTGGTGCCAACCTGGTGCATCCTAGGAGATGCCAAGCTGTGCATTCTCCCTCCTCATACTCGAACCCTCAGTGCCTGACAGGGGACCAAAGCCCTACCAGTAAGAAGTATTTATTTGGTGGTCTAGGTACACACAAGGGGGCCGGTGGTAAATGGCTTCTATTTTGTTCTATTTGTTTTGAGGAGACCTTTCCTTCACAGATAAATGTGAAGAACTGCAAAGATACACTGCCTTTTATTCTGGAATCTGTGTTCTACACAGAAAAACAGGCTGCAGCTGCTGTAGAGCGTACATTGAGCAATAGTTGAAGGACTATCTTTTTACCCAATTATGCAAATACACAAGTACATAAATTAGCTAGTTTGTCAGACTGTAATGTGTGGTCACCAGCATGTCTTTACTATACTTTCTTCCTGTTAAGTCTTGTGACCCTTACTCATGTGTGAATGATTATTTGCAAAGTTTTTTATACTATAACAAAAGGGAACTTTTTGATTTATTTATTTTATGTGTATGAGTATTTTGCCTGAATATATGTAAATGCAGCAGGTGCATGCAATGCCTGTAGAGGCCAGATGTGGGCACTGGCTCCCTGGAACTGGAGTTGGACAGTTGTTAGCCACCATGTGGGTCCTAGGAACCAAACCTGGATCCTCTGCAAGAGCAGCCAGTGTGCTTAACCACTGAGCCATCTCTCCAGCCTTACAATCTGAAACATTTTACCTTATTCTCATTCACGTATGAGCCTGAGACATGTGAAGAAGAAAAACACAATACTCTGGCAAAATGCAGTATTGAAAGGTGGCTATTTCCCTCACTTGGTGATAACAAGCAAGTGATGTCTCTATCCATACAGACATTTCCACAGCCTTCGTGGAAAGAGTTCCACAGACTGTGTTTGCAACTCTGCTTTTCATCAAATAGTTTCCTTTCCATTTGGTTGGCTGGTAGCATGTTACTTGATGAGAATCAGGATACTGTTCGTACTGTGATATTTTAAAGAAATTATCTTTATTTTTAACTGTTCATCTAGATAGACATGCCAATAGATATTGAGGCCACATTTTGAGCAAAACTCACAAGTTTTTTTTCCAAACCTTACATGTATACACAAGATGACACAATATTAAAGGCTTGCTTTAAAGAACAAAGCTTGAGGAACACAGTGAGATACAAGCTTATAACCAAATCCAAGTCAGTGAGCATATCTGATTCAACACAAGAAAAGATAACAAACTTCGTGATTTTAGGAAGGACTATCTGAAGACAGGGTTGCAGGATGTGCTCCAAGGCCCTTTGTGGGAAGCTGTAAGCAGAGAGAAACAGCCAGTTTTTACTTAACATAGCAGGAACTATAGGTTGTCAGGGTTTCATGTATCAGATCTGACTAGTTATTGGGCTATTGCAAAGAAAATAGGCTCTGCTTATGAGGCCTGATGGTGAAATACTCCGATTCCTAGTCTCACCTCTCTCCCTCTCTGTGATTTTGAGTTTAGCTTACCAAAAATAGCCCTTTGAGTCTTTCTTTCTAAGTCCTTTCATTCTAATGAAGGAATTAAGCTTGGTAAGTCAACAATTGATGATCCATGGGTTAGCAGATTAAGACTTCAAAGATTTATACATGAATGAACCAAGAGCCATGTCTCAACTATTAATTGGACTCCTTGTATTAAATTATCCTAAGAGAGCCACTAGCAGGCAAAAAAAATAATTTTCACAGTCTTTTAATTTTTTTTTTTTTTGCCAACAAATGAGGAACCCAAGAGGTCTCCAGAGAGTTGAAAGAGATAGATGCATCTCGTTTATGCACCATGCTCCATTTTACTTCTAATTTTATTATTCCAGTAGGCTACCACAGGATGTTTGGTAGTTTTGTCTGTGAACTTTTCTTTAAGATCTAACTATACCATTAACAGTTTTTGCTCTATAAACTTGGAACTGCCAAAAATGCCTACTATCTTATTTGATTAAATTACATTATAATTAAAATTTAAACAAATGTCACTTCCTAAAGTCAAGGTAGAGGTTTCATTGGCTAAAAACTGTCTTCTTTCCTATCTACATGTTATCATCCCAAGCAATTGCTTTCCTTGATTTGATTTCATATGCATAAAAATAGACTACTCAGAAGCCCTCATTACATCATCAAACCAAAGTAAGAGAGGTTTTGAAGCAGGAATCCATACACTGTTTTCTCTTTTGAGGCCTTGCCAACCTGTAAGCTTCAGAATACAATAGCAATAAAGAAACATGTCAGTTCACAGTTGCTACAGAAAACAAAAATTAGTGTTAAGTTTCTACAACTTCCCTTCTTACCCATATCAGTAATTTCAACTTAACATCAGTAATTTCAACTTAACATCCACCCATTTCATAAAATCTTCACACTTTCTTTAGTACCATCTGACAATCGCACCCACTTGAATGAAAATATAATCAACTTTCCAATTTCCTTCAAAACCTTAAGTCTGCAAGCCCCAATCTCTCTGTAGGAACATATTACAGGCCAGTCAAGTTTCTAACATTTTGCTTGAATTATTAGGAGAAAAATGAAGAACCAAACCAGCTGCACTTAGGAATGAAAGCTTGCTGTCTCATTCTGTCAGCCCAAGAAGCAGTGTGATCATGGCAGAAATGCTAAGGTAAAGGGAAAGAGGCAGCAACAGTTTTCATCTAACATTAGTCTACTAGAACTTTTAAAGGGAAGGTTCAATGCACAGAATTTTGCGGAGTGGGGAAGACTGCTATAAGACATTAGATTTTACAGCCAAGTGTCTGCAGAAAAAACAGCAACAAAATTCCAAGTTGACTATGCTAGTTATAGTCATAATGAAGCACAGTGACCTGTGGGGAAGGCTAAGTCTTATAAAACTGAAATAGCTTCTTGATTTAAATAATGGTAACTTCAGCTAAGCAGTTGGATAGTCGTTCACATGAAACTATGGAAAAAGAAATATCCAGTTACTGGTAACACCAAAGAAATATACCCTAACCATCGACCAAAGGTACTTTGGTACTGTAGCCATAACAGACAAATGTGGTATGGGAGCAGGGAATTCCCTGATGGTTTGGATGACAGGGTCATAGAAGGCCTTTGAGACCCACTATGTCTCCTGTGAGGCTGATGCACCGCATGTTCCATAACAAGAATCACATAAACACAACCTTATCAGCTGGCTTGTTAAAACAGAGTGTGCAACACTGCGGTGTTGAAAAGTGACTTCAGGCTTGCTGAAGGCTATCATTAATCTGAGGAAACGATACTTGGTGCCATAGACTAAAAACTATGGTCTCAAGAGGAATGCACATGAAGTTTCCAAAAATGTTTCCTCTAAGCTTTTACTCAGTTTTGGCTTGTGACCTTAGCTGGAAAGCATAAAGATGGTCATTGAGGGCAGGCAGTTCAGAAAGACATTGGTAACGATTTAAGTTGGGCAGCTTTCAGAAGATGAAAGACGTTCAAAGTTAAGGCCTTTATCTGCAAACAACAGTATATTAATAAACTCTATACCATATTTACAAATGCATTCTCTTGTATTAAAACTAACAGTATTCTGTTCACAGTGCCATTGTTTATACAGGTAGCAATCCCATAATACTCATGTATTTTGGCATGGGAATCAGTAGCGCTTGGTATTTACAAAAAAATGTACATGTGTGAATATAAACAGGTCATTGAATCCATAAAAGACAGATTGGCTAATGGTGCAAAGGAATGAACTGTACAGCACCTTCCCCTGGATGGGTCGGGAAACGTGTTTTCTTAAATTGAGAAGATGCCAAATCTCTGACCCAAAGTGGCATAAAGTCAATAGCAAAACAATGAACCCTTGTTCAAGTTTGGGTACATTGAGTAATCTTAGTCCAAAGTTTTAGATCCATTGTCTAGTGCATGAAATATAAAAGTTAAAAAGATTTATTATTATTTTATAATAATTATTATTAAAATAGAAGGTCCTTTCTCTCATGCTCTTTTGTGCCCTGGCACTTAAGACCAGCTTCCTTGGAGTTCCAGATATGCTGGTGTTGTCATGCAATCAGCAGTTAGATGGTGACCCCTGAAATGCTCTGGACTTAGGAGCTTGCTGCCAGTCACAGTGCGACCCAGGGCCAGAGGGGGGACATGGCAGAAGCACCTCTTTCTTACTCCTCGGTCTTCTTGGTGGGGGCAGCTGGCCCCAAAATCAGCTCCACTTACTGGATGGAGTTGCTCATTTTGGCAGCTAATGCTGAGGTGACAGATGGCTTCTGTACACTTGGAAAAACGAAGGGGAGGCAGGTGGGTGGCATTCAAAGCCCAGGTGTGCTGGGTTTGTGGCAAGGGCCCCCTAGGAGGCCTTACCCCAGGTGACCCTAGGGTGTGGCGCCTTCTGTCTGCTCCACGGTCTCAGTCCCTGGGCCTGCTAGGTCCAGGCCGCCGCTGCCCCTGCGTCTGTGCTGCTTGGACAACAGGCTCTTCCACTGAGCTTTGTTGTGTGCAAGATGCCTTAGCATGTTCTCAGACAGGGAGCTGTTTCCAGTGAAATGGGCCCATTCCCGGAAGAGCGGCTCCACTATGTAGGTCATGAAACCTGCAACATGCAAGGCCACAAGCAAGGTTGTCACAAGAGGTAAGACCTACTTCCTTCTTCACAAACACGACTGGGGACCCATAAGTGCAGTCAGCCCAGGATAGTAGGCAAACACAATATGGACACTACCCTTAGTTTATGGGCATGAGCTGTGTCTCCTTGGGTCTGCGCCTAACCTTTTTGTGCCTCAGTTTCCACATTTGTTAAAAGGAGCTAAGGAGAGTGCAAACCAAACCCATAGGGTTCTTATGACAAATACTTAACACATGCAAAATGGTTAAACCTGCTGGCATAAACAGTGACTATTAGCTACTATTATTTGCAAAGGGAGAGAGACAAACAAAACAGAAAATGTGTGGAACTAGGAAAGGCAGGTGGAGAAGGAAGAAGGTGCACATGACACCAGGAAGGTACATGTCACCGTTTCAGACCATTAAAGAATTCATTCAGAGTTGGATGTCATGGAGCATGTTTTTAATCCCAGCACTTGGGAGGCAGAGACAAACAGAGCTCTATGAGTTCAAGACCAGCCTGGTCTACATAGTGAAACCCTGTCTCAAAACAAAACAAACAAAAAGCATTTAGATTACTAGGTGGGTTTTTTTTTTTTCCAGATTTTCATTTTATAGTATTATCTTGCCTTCAACTTTTTCAAGCAACTAAATTTAAAACAAACGTTTTCATTTTCAACATAGGTACAGATATATGCAGTATTGGGAATTGAATGTTGCACATGTGAGGCAAATGCTCTACAACTAAGTCATTTGCCAAGCCCTTTTGATACAGATTTTTACCTGCAAAATAAGTCCTGCTTTAGTGACTATAGAAGATTGTTTGAGGTTAGACTTCCTTGTCTCATGTACCCAAGTCTCTGAGAAGGTCTCATTATGTAGCTTAGGCTGGTCTTGAACTCACCATCCTCTTGTCTCAGTCTCGGGAGTACTGAGGTTACAGAAATCCAGTCATGCCCAGATAATGTATCTGTTCTCTTAATAACTGAACTCTCATTGCCTTCAAATCCCATTTTATTGTTAATGTGCTTTGCATATTAAACATGATCTGTTACACAAAGATAACTTTCGGTCTAGGTTGGAATTACTGGAATTATCACCAACTTGGACTTATTCAGGTTTCACTGTACTTGCTTGAAATGTAAGCATGGGATGAAAAGGCATATGTCTTTTGGCCTAATAAATTTTCCAGCAACTGATTTTTTTTTATAGTTATAGGCATGTGAATTACAAGACCTGAACATTTTGTTATTGGACAAAGTGTAGACATTGGGCTTTGGGGGATGCTAGGAGGATGGGAAAAGGATGCAACAATGTAAAATGTTATTGTATATTTCTGAATTATCTTATGTAAAATGACTTAAATATTGTGAGATCATTTAGACAGCCCAAACCCAGGAAACTGAGGACAGTGGGTTTGTGTCTGATTATCATTTTAATTAGGTGATACAGAGACTCAGCCCATAGGGATTTCCTGTATTACTTGCTATTCTCAAATTTCCATCTCCTTCACAATCTCCATATCAAATTTGTAACGTCTTTTACCTTGAAAATGTTTAGATATTTGATATTTTTTAAAAGTTTGCAAAATGACAGTATCCTAAAGTTTAAGGGGGAATAGTTATCAACTTTATCTATGTAGAATAAAGTTTCAGCTCTAACATTTTTTAAAAATCAACTCATTTCCCCCCTGGTTACCCTGGAATTATACATCTATATTTATGCTTGTCAGATATGAAGACTTTTTGTACTAGATAGGAAAGTGAATTTAAAGTCTGAATAAACATCACAAGGCAGTTTTCCAAATGGATGTGGGAAGCTGTTCCATCAGTGTGCTGCCAGTCTCTTATTTCTCCAGGGATGAGCTCACTGTACCTAGGATTGTCCTTCTGGCTGGGTGGGAGTAGACGAAGGAGGAATGCTGGCCTCAGGGGAGCCCCAGGTTGAAGGAAAACCTCTTTTCTCTTCATCTTTCTACAGATTCCACCAATTAGAGATTAGTTAGATTTCACATCTTTTTTAAAATGCAGTTTGCTGGAGAGACAGGAGGAGTGACTGTGGGAAGAGGGTGAGTGCTACTTTCTCTTGGGTAAATGTCAATTATTTAAAAGAAAAACTAGCGACTTGTACTCAAGAAAGTCTCATTTGTATAGAAAAAAGGGGAAGAGCAGTACATGTTTTTAATTGCTAAGCCATCTCTTGGTGGGGAGGGACTAGGACATGGGTTAACGAAAACTAAGGATGTATAAAAAAGCCTTATAGAAACCCATTAGCTAGAAAAGGTTTGAATGGTTTAAAATATATCTTTTAAAACAAGGAGTCACCGTGCATGGATCAATGATACTGCTTCCAGAAGACATGAGCTATTAAATGAAAATTGCAGTACAAGGCATGGAATGCTGCCCTATGATTTATTGGTCAGGGAGGCCCCAGAGGTCTCCAAACAATGAAGGCCATTGCAATTGCTCTTGGTCACCCAACATAGCTACATGGTAAGACCAAGTTGCTGAAGATATCCTATACTTTGGATGCAGTACATAGAGAAGTCCATGTCAAACTGACTTGGAAACTTTCTCTGTGCTTGCTAAGCTTTCATAGTGCTAGAAGGTTCTATACAGGTTTCTGAGGGAGAAAGGACATCCATGGTTTTACCCAGGCCAGACCCTGCATGCTACAATACAGATTTGCCAGGTAAGATGTGCCTTCTAGTGCAGTAATGGCACAACTGTTACTGGGCAATGAACTGTTTTCTGATTGAATGTGAGGCCTGCTCCACAGGAGGGAATTTCATGCCTGGTACTATAATCCTGGACAAAAGCCCCTAGCTGAGGAGGTCATAAGCCCTAAGATAGAACCTGCTATTATTATTTTGCTAAATGATCTGCTGTCGTATTACCTTCTAAATATTTATTCATATATCCATAGATCTGGAAAGAAAGACTTCTTTTTACAGTAGGTAGAAGTAGATAGAGGCATAATTAGCCCAAGTGCCAAGAATAAGTGACGCAGTATTCAGTCCTAAACAGAGCATCTACATTAACCCCACCACTACCAAGGCTCAGGGAACATCACAGAAGAGGAAGAAAGAATGTAGGAGTCAGAGGACAGGGAGGAGTGCTGCAAAATGCTGTCTTCTGGACATGACATGGTTATTGTAGTCATGAACGCACAGCAGCCATGGTTACCTACACAAGACCTACATGAGATCAAGCCACTTCAAACCCCGACATAAATGGAGTAGATGATCTTTAGGCCTCACCTCATACTGAGGAACAGTGGGTAGTTGCTTAGGGAGGGAGAACCATTCTTTATTGAGGCTATGGCCACTGGTAGGTTTCCCATGCTCCAGTGGATGACTCCACACCCATGCACATAAGCAGCACTAACTGGACTTAGGTCATCCAAAGGGGGGAAAAAAGACGTAACGTTGGGAGGGGACATATTGAGGGATATGGGCTTAATTGGAGGGGGGCAATGGGGATAGATATATATTATTGTATACATGTATGAAATTCTTAAAAATAAAGAAAAAATTTAAAGGGCTACAAAAGGCTTCTTTTTCATTAGTCAATAAAGGTTCACAGGCAACAAAAATGAGAAAGAGAGAAGGGGGAGGGGAGAAGAATAGGAGAGGAAAGGAGACATTTTAACTCAAGGGGAGTCAGAAGAGAGGAAATAGTTGCATTATATAGGACCCAATGGAGAAATGGGTGTGTGGATGAAGGCTGGAGCTTGCAGCATCCATTAGGCTCTTTATCTATTTAGGGTTTTCCAATTTAGACTGGTCTACTTTGTAATACTTCCCAACTCTGAACCTACATGAGCTGGTAGATGTGGAACAGGGAAAGATTTATGAACTGAGTGTTGTTTTATAATAATCCTCTCTTTCTCCTTATTATTGTTATTCTGGTGGAGCATCTATGGGATTTCCCTATTCACTCAACCACCATCTCATTTTTAAAGGAGGTATCTATGGTAACCACAGTTTCCTAAGCTGGAAATGGGGACATATGATCTGACAAAACACCTGTGTTTTCATGACAACAGACAGAATCTCTGCAGTCAGCCCTGACTTTCAGATATCGGTTGAATGCTTAATAGTGTAAATGTTTTTATTTGGGAAATGTGTGGTTTAAAATGTTATTAACAGTATCATAGAAAAATTATTTCTAGGCAGAGTTTAATGCAGTGATTTCTAGGACTGGCAACCATGTTTGTAAAACCTCATAACTAAGTATGGGACCTGGCAAGATCCAAGGAGGCTGGGGCTGCATCTCTGTTGCTGATGCTGCCCCACTCGTTAATAATTCTGAGTTGTTAGGGCTGGAGAGATGGCTTAGTGCTTAAGAATGCTGGTTGTTCTTGCAAAAGACCTGAGTTCGAATCCTAGCACCCACATGGAAGCTAACAACTGTCTGTAACTCCAGTCCTAGGGGATCCAACAGCCTCTTCTGACCTCTGCAGGCATTGCACAACACGGGTGCACTTATCTACATGCAGGTAATACACGCATACACATAAAATAAAAATAATAAATAAATAAAATTTAAAAAAGTAATTCCTCTGCCTTGAGTTATATTTTTTTTATACATCTCTCCCTATATGAGGGTGAAAGATTCAGTTTAATTATGAAAGCAGCATAACGATATTAAGGATAATTTGGGAAAAGATTGAATATCTTTAGCCTAATAATTCAAACATACCTATTTGAGTACGTGTATATTACATTCAAATCTTTATAGCTGGGTTTGCTTAATTGCCCTTTCCTGAGGCTGGCTTTTTGACTGTCTTTATAGGGCTGTGTTTTAAATGTGGCCCTCCATGATTACCGCCAGAACATTTTCTAATTTTTTTCGTTTTTAGTCAGCCTTTGCAGATGCTCCCTTTCCTCACCATGCAAGGCATTAAATTCTATAAGACTTATAACCCTGTGAATATAATAAACTGAGACCTGCAGGAACAGGTAAAATATATGAACAGCTAGATGTCAAGCCTAGTGCTTATTAAGGAGAAGAGTTTAAGTTATGTTTTTAGTTTCAGTGGAAGGACTTCAAGGTAAAGAAAGGCTAGCTTTACATATAGATGCAATTAGTGTTTCAATACATAGTAGAAACTATTTTCTTCACTAAGGTGAAAAGAGTGAAATTTCTCCCATTTGATTTGTATAAAGATCTTGTATAATCTATGTGTATAATGCAATTAGATAGTCATAATTATTTTGTACGCATCAACATGAAAATTGAGCAGTTATCACAGTTGAGACTTGAAAGAGAGTGGTTTTAAGAACATGACTGAAAATAAGTTTTTAAGTAGAGAGTAGAGAAACACTGACATCTGGCCTCAGGGGCACAGCAGGGTTCTTGGATCTTAGGCCTGGGACTGGGCCATCAGAATTAACTGATGAAATAAAGAGAAGGGACCCACATCAGAAGGGTCTTAGAGCCCGGTTCTCACTCATCAAACCCTGAAGCGACTGTAAATGGTTAATTCAGTTTGATTTATATTCTATTCTTGGCGTGCGTGCGTGTGCATGTGCGTGTGTGTGTGTGTGTGTGTGTGTGATTTGTGCTTGCGTGTATGTGTGCTTGTGTAGGCCAGAGGTAGACACTGGGTGTTTTTCCTAGATGACCCTCTACCCTAATTAAAAAAAATCTTTATGAACTTTTTTGAAGATTTATTTTAGTTTTCATTACATGTATGTGTGTTTTTGTGTGTGGGTATGTACATGTGAGTGTAGGCGCCCAGAGGCAGTTGTGAGCTGCCTGACTTGAGTACTGGGGAACTGAACTCAGTCCTCTGTAGGAGCAGGACACATACATCACTGCTGAGCGGAGCTATCTCTCTAGCCCCTATTTTTTTTTGAGACATGGTCCCTCACTGAAACTCCTTAATGCAGATGACTGGCCAATGAGCTTCAGGGATCTGCTTCTCTGCTTTTTCCCCCCGGTGTCGCCCCCTGCCCCCCGCCCCCCAATGCTGGCCTTACAGGCACCTTCCACTGTGTCTGGCTTTTTATGCGGGTTCTGGAACTCAGGTCCTTATGCTTGTACACCTGTGATGTAGGCATATTACTGACTGAGCCTCCTCCCCAGCCCCTCTTATCTTTTGAGTCAGGCTCTCTTAATGAACCAGGAGCTTGCCAAGTCACCAAGATTGGCTGCCTAGCAAGTTCCAGAGCCTTTCTCTACGGCACCACTCCCACCCTGTGTTGGTGTCATACTGCTGAGCACTTTGCTGATTGAGTCAGCTCCCTAGGCCCTTGATTCTATTCTTCTTGTAGTGCTGGTGATTGAACCCAGGGCCTTGCACATGGCAAGGAAATGCTCTGCCTCTGAGCTACCTTCTAAACCTTAGCTTTTAAAGAAAGGGTCTTACTATGTAGCTCAGACTGACTTTGAATTTGCTACTAGTCTATGCTGGCTTCGAACTTAATATCTTACTGACATATCCTCCCAAATGCTTGGATTCTAAGTATGTATTACCAGGCCTAGCTTGATTTTGATTCTATTCTAAAGCACAAAGTTAATGCTATAACTCAGTATTAAGTTAGTTGTTTGTTCACAAAGCTTGTAACTAATTTGTTCTAATTTCTCAATTGAGAATCATCTAGTAGATTAAGTGTGCTTCAAGTGTTTCTTGGACTGAGTCATTTAGATCTTCAGTGCTGATCCCTGGGAAGGGTGTGTGTGCGGATCTTTGTTTTGTTGTTGTTGTTATTCCTGGCACACGTGCCAAACTGTTCATTTAAAATAGAAACAGAATAAACTTACCAATTTGTATACTGGGTATTGAATCTTTCTGTTGATTACAAAGAGGACTGATTTCCAGTTCAAATTTTTGTTCAAGGTCACCTGAAAAGAAAGAAGAAACATATTGATAATTCAGAGTTTATGGAATGTACATTGGTTGTTTTAGTGAATTTTTTTGGGGTAAAAATTATTCTGAGGATTACTGTTCCCTGCCTTGTAATCATCAGGAACTTTCTAGCACCAACTGGCTCTGGGAGCTTGCTTAAAAATGCAAAAATCTCAGGCTATCAGTGATCATTGATAATGGACTCATTATAAGTAAATGTACTCTGGGACTGGAATAAATATTTTTTAAAATTACATTTATATATATATATTTATTTTGTATTTGTGGGTATGTATGTGGGCACATGTATCATGGCACAAATGTGGAGGTCAGAGGATAACCAACCAGAAATAATTTCTCTCTTTCTACCATGTTGGTCTCAGGGATTGAACTCAGATTGTCAGGCTTGGTGGCAGGCACTTTTACCTGCTAAGCCATCTCATTGGTCCTAGAATACACTTTTTTTTGACAGGGTCCCACTGTGTAGCCCTGACTGGTCTCAAACTCACAGAGATCTGCCTGCTTCTGCTTCTTGAGTGCTGGGATTAAAGGCATGCCCTACCACGCCTGGCTAGAGTCCACTTTCAAACATGGCCTATACAAGAAATGGCTAGTGGACAATTTTCTGACATGGAATAAAAATTCTGGGTCTGAGTACAGGTTAAGAGAGCAGGTTTTACTCTCCTTCCCCTCCCTTTTACCTACTTTCATATTCATGTTGCCTGACTCCACTGAGCACTCCAAGTAGGAAAGGGGAGAAGGACTAGAAACTCTTGTCTGCTTGGAACTCAGTCTGAAGATACAAAACTAAGTAGAAATAAGCTTAGAACACCATTTACTATTAAAATAAATTCTTGGAAGCCAATTCCATTTCTCATTCCATCTTTCTTTTCCTGTCAATTTTCAGTCAAGCCGGGCAATCTAGAAGAGTCAGCTTTGATCTCCCCCTTTCTCCATCTCCAGGCATCTGGTCCTTGTCTAAGAACACTGTTTTCCTCCTTCCTCTCTCACTGACCCTAGTCTTTTTTCTTAATAACTTACTCTTAGTCTTTGTGTCTTAGATGGTTGGTTTCCTTCAGTATTTCCTTCACTGTAATTATATATGTTATCCTAAGAGCACTAAGGTAATTCTTACTGTCATGTTCTCTACTTTAGCCTGGCACACAGGGGCTTCCATAACCCTCTCATTCCTACCCTCCGTGAGACTGTGCTGGTCTTCAGAACATGCGTATTTCTATTTTCATTGCCTTTGTCTGTTTCCATTGTCTACCTGGGCCAATGCCATTTGCAATGATGCAGATGCTCTCTGCATGCCCATTCTGGAAACCCCTTTGAAATGTGCTCAGTACGCTAAGAACTAAAAGTTTAATTTTATTACATTTTAACTGACTTAAATTTAGCTAGCTACATGTGCCTCATGTATAGCTACCATATTGCAAAGTGTAGAGCAGCACATGTCCTTCAAAACCCAGCTCAAGCTCCACTTTCTTCAGCAGTAAACTCATTCTCTCTACTATTAGAGGGCTTCCAGTTAGATCATTTATTCTTTTTAAAAAAATATTTATTATTTTTATTTTATGTGTATGAGTGTTTTGTCTGCATGTGTGTAAGTGCACCCGTGTCATGAAGATCCTGCAGAGGCAGAAGAAGGTGTCAGATCCCCTCAAACTAGAGTTACAGATGATGGTTAGCCATCATGTGGGTGCTGGGAATCGAACCCAGGTCCTCTGGAAGAGCAGCCAGTGCTGTCAGTGGTTAGCTGAGCCATCTCTCCAGCCCTCAGATCATTTTTTTTTTCACTTACTTGACAGACATGTGTAAATCACTTGTTGAAGTTTTGCCGATCAGCGTAGAGATTATAAAGAGGAAAATCAAATAGTTTCTCCCCTCCAGGAACATTACTGACTGCCATTTCAAGGGTATCAAATGCAAACCAGTTATACTTCTTTGTGCCAATTGTAACATTTCCAGTGTGTTATTGTTTATAGAAAAATCAGTTTTGGTGAGGATCAGACAAGGCTAAAAATAGATGTTCAATAAAATCTTTTGGAAAAGCTAGGTTAATTGTGGAGCTATTAATCCCTATAGTAACAATTAGACAGAGATTCTTAAGGCGTTAAGGGCTGGGGAAGAAGAGCCATGGTACTTGGAATCCTAATCTCTGTTCTGAGAATCTAAAAGTTTTCCTAATTCATAGGGTGTCATTATTTTCCCACTGTGTCTGCAACATTGATTTTAGGGATCTTTTTCTTTGCTTAACATCATGTCTTCTATTCATGGTATTTGTCCTAGCTGGGCACAGTGGCTCATGCTTGTAATCCCAGCACTCTGGAGCCTGAGGAAGGAGAACTGTAAATTCCAGACCAGCCTGTGCTTTATAGCAAGACCTTGTCTTAAAACAACAGACAACAAACAACAGCAAAACAGACAGTTGTCTAGGACGGTTGGTAGAAGCCTGCGTTCCAGGAGGAGTGGGATGAGTTAGCATTTGAATCCAAACCCCTAACTGAGAGCCAGAGTAAGGTTACTCAAAATGGGGGAAATCATTCCTAGAGAGTTAAAAAAAATTCTGTATGGAAGAAAGACAGTTTGGATGACCAGAGTCTAGTCTTCTCAAAACAGGCAGAACTTCTGCTGGAGTGTAAGGCTATTAAATCAGCAGGAACTGGTCTGTTCTTTCAGTTCCTTTGCCTGTCATGAGGTATGTGAGAACAAAGTTTGGAAGACCATCTTTAGTAATTGGCATTGTGAATGTTCTAGCTCTTTTCAAATCTTATTGTGCCACACATGCATATCTTATTAGGGTCAGTTTTTGCAAAGAAATGTTATAGGTCATATTACTTGGTTGGTGCCATTTACTCCTCTTAATTAACAACCTTGATTTAAGAACTCTATGGGCCTTAAGAGTCACATGGTCCCTACCCAAGTCACATGGTCCCTACCCTAAGTTGCTCAGAATCTAAATAAAGTGCTAGATGAGCGAGTTAAAGGGCAAGACTGTAATTGAGACCAACCACAGCACATGATTGAATCAAAATCAAGTGGGACAGAGAAGAGAAGAATCTTGGTTTTCAAGGATGGAGGTCCTAACCTTCCTCTCACTGCTAGTTCAATAGTTTAAATATCATACTTGAAGTAAGCACTCACCCTACTTAATCTACAACCATTCTGCTCCAAATATCATCATATTTCCTTTTGTTCTGACCTCAGTGGAGATTTCATTTCAAGGCCCACTAGAACTGAGTTTGAAATTTCTAACCACTCACACTCACTGCAAGTGAAATTCCAGAGTTGCAGGAGCTACATGAGCACTTTCACTCTGAGATAATGTGACAGTGAGCTGAGCAGTCTGGCCTCACATGAACTCAGTTCCTCTTTGTCTTCTGCCTTTGGGGCCATCATGATGTCATTGACACATCTTTCAATGGACATTTCTCCAAAAGGCTCACTGTTGCTGTTTGACCTCTCCACAGAGCTGGTATGTGGGGCACTTCAAGCTTTATTTGTTCTCAGCCTCTTAAACCTGATCCTGTCACTAGCATGAGGGCACCACTGATGCCCGAACAAACATCCTGAATGTTGAAACACAGCCTGAAGAAACAGGGCTGCGTTGAAAGGCCGAAATCCTACCCACTGTCAGGATCTTAGTTGCTAGTTCACTGCCTTCCTCTGAAAGGAGGAGATTGAAAAATTATACCCTAACTTAGGGCCATTCATCTTTTCACAGGAAAATGCACCTACTTTACTGTTTAAACTACATTTGAAAGGCTTAACTCTATTCGTGGATAGTTGCAACCTATTTAATTATGAACTTCATTTAAGAAAGTGAGGAGAAGGTATACGGAAGGATCTTAGTCCTTCAGCTAGAGTGGAAAACATTGACTCCCAAGCAGCATTTAGCTTTTACGCTGTGCTCAGTTCATTAAAATGAAGGTCAGAGAAAAACCCAACTGTCCATCACATAGTTATAGCCACAGAGGAAAGATATATAAATATGAGCATATACATATATCTGGCTATTCATATGCACATTTTATTCATTTTGATTGTGTCTTACTATTACCTGTTATTTAAATTATTTCTTTCTGACAAAAGGGTTGGATGATTCAAAAGTGTTGAAGAGAAAGGTTTGGATAATAAGAGTTGATGAAGCAACAAATGTCATGATAGATTAGCCATTTCCTGTTTCATTAGGATAATTGCCTAACAGGAAGAGGGAGAAACAAGAATCTCAGCTGTGCGGTCTTTACTAACCTTGTCTGTAGAATTCTTCACAGACCCTCTCACTCCATTGCTTGCTCATCTCCCAGATTCGACAAGGATTGCAAATGTCAGCACACTTCAGGGCAATCTGAGGATGGCAGGACAGGGAGAGGCTGTCAGAGGATGTCTCTTAAGTTTCAAATGTACCCCAAGCCAAAGGGGCCCGTGAGGTCTGCCTGTCTGCCTCCTGGTACCAAGCCCATATTTACAGACAGCCTCCCCAACGTGTTTCTTCAGGAAACAGCCGCTATTCACAACTGCACAAAACCCTTCATTCAGAACTCCCACTTTATAGAAGTGAGGAGAGAAGAGTCACTGTCCAAGGACACAGAGCTTCCTGGAGAAGACTTGGGGTGGGCAGGCCAATGAAAGCCTGGCTTGGCTCCTTCTGTTGTCCCACCCCTCTGAGGCGGGGAGCTACAGGGATCTGGCTAGACTTAAGTGAGATCATCTAGAAGTCACTCTCATGTTGACTGACTCCATACATCACTTAAATTATATGTTTGCATTTACATGCCAGTATTGGTGTGAAGTAAGCTCAGACTGCCAGCCAGGGCACTAAGTTATATTAAACCCAGGAGTCTTGTGTTTGCTCAGCTAAGTCAGGGCTTCTTGGCTTGCCGTACATGGCTCTGGATCTGGACTATCACCTTTTGTCAGTGGTGATGATCCTAGGAGAGATACCTTCAATTCCTAGACAAGTAGGTTCTCTTTTTTGACCAGTAGCCGAGAGACTGCTGTCAGGAGACCTGCCCAACAGCAATGACCATTGTTTTGATCCAGTTCCTTAGGTCATAGACCAGCTAGCAGTGTTGAGTTGTGGGAGAGCCTTGGATCACACTAAGATATAAATTCTGGTGTGTATTTGTTCTTTGGTTAGTGAGGGCACCAGTGCATGTGTTGGCAAAGGTAAGGGGCAGAAGTCCTCTCCAGGGACTTTTGGGATTCCTTTGAGTTAGTCAAGTCTTCCTTTTGAAATGCAAGTCTTCAGGCCAAATATTACAATATTTCAGTTATAAGTAAGCTTGAGTCATTTAAATTAACATCTGTGAGTATATAGCACTGTCTTTTTTTTTTTTTTTTAAACAGAGTCATAGCCCCAGCTGGCCTGGAACTTGCTATGTAGACCAGGCCATGACCTCACAGAGATGTGCCTGCCTCTGCCTCCCAAGTTCTTGGATCAAAGGCATGCATCACTGCACCCTGCTTCTCTGTACTAGTCTTTAAGCACTTAGGTAGTAGAAGACTGGTTTAGGAAGAAGAGTGAGGGAGCTCAGCTCTACAGCTGGAAGTAGGGTATTCCCTGGAAAGGACAGCACTTTGGATAGCTACAGTGTGTAGGCCTGAAACCAAATGACTATGGTTCAGTCTCCCATGTGCAGTTCCAGCTCCCTGGCTAAAGTTGGTCTGTCTAGATAAGTTCATGTGTATTCAGTCACATGTGCCAAAAGGGTAGGAAAACAAGAGAAAATGGAAGATCAGGAAGAAGGCTCTGGTTTGGATACCAGGTCAAACTTCAGTTCCAAAGTCCACTGTGTTCCTCTTTCTTGCATCCTAAATGGTTTCTTTCCATGGAGTAAAGCAGAAAGGTTTGGGCTTGATCCAATTCAGTTCTATTTGATTCAACTTAGTTTATTTTTTGGTATCCAAAAATGGTAAACCCCAGCTGCAAAAAGGAGCTGAGTAAATAAAAAGAATTAACTCAAAGCCTATTTAAATAGGTCTTAGGTGAAGGAAAGCGCCTTGCTTTAAAATTTTTGATGGTATTATAATTAATATACTTTCCTGTTATAGAAGCAGTGTTTTGAAATGGCATAAGTATCATGCTCGTTAATTTTCTATCAAGGCTTAAAATGTGGTAATCGCTCGGGTTGGGGATTGTGCTGGACAGCTTTAGTGTCAACTTGATACACCTGGGTTGAGGGAGCCTCAGTTGGGGAACTGCCTTCATTGGACTGGCCTGTGGCCATGTCCATGGGGCACCTTCTTGATTGTTGAGTGATGTGGGAGGGCCCAGCCCACTGTGGGTGGTGCCACCCCTGGGCAGGTGGGCCTGTGTTGCATAAGAAAGCAGGCTGAGCAGGGGCCAGGGGAGCAAGCCAGTAAGCAGAGTTCCTCCATGGCCTGTGCTCCAGCTCCTGCCTCCAGGTTCCTGCCCTGAGTTCCTACCTTGGGCTCCCTGTTGAACTGTGACTCAGGAGATGTAAGATAAAATAAACCCTTCCTTCCCCAAGTTGGTATTGGTCAGAGTATTTTGTCACAGCAATGGAGAAACAAACTAGGGCAGGGATGTAGCTTAGAGGTAGAGCACTTGCTTTAGCATGCCTGGCAAACACAGGCCCTCCTGGGTTGATCCCCAGAATTGTTACATATTTAGTAGTAACTACCTATATAAACACTCACTGCATACATGCAACCCTCCATTGAGGCTACTTTGTGATGAGGCAGTTACCGAACAAGGGAAAATGAGATGGTATCCATTTTCTGACATGAAACCTAGATTTTGCTTGTTTGGAAATCACTTAACAATTTCATGGGTCTCAAAGCTTTTAATAAAGTAGGTCACTACTTTAAGATATACCATGGAATATAACTCCTTCTCAAATATGCTAAAATTATCGATCACTTCTCTAAGTGTTTCCACTTAGCAAGGCTAATGGCGTTTGTTGCTTACCTGAAGCATAAAATGTCTGTCTTGTACATCCTCCAGTCTCAAGTCTTTATTGTGGAGGTGAGCTTTCAATCGGGTCAGAAATTCATTCTGTCTGTTGATGTCTGTGGCTAAAATCAGGGAACCCAGCTGCTGTTCAATATCCTGTCTGCATCCACAAGAACAAAAGAGAAAAACACATACTTGCAAAGCAAATCTTTTTGAGGATGACTGATTCTCTCACTGTCATCTGGCTTGTCATCTCATTTAGGCCTTTGATTTGCTTATCCATAGCATCCCAATCCCTCACAGCCTGAGAGCAGGTCCTTGGAGAGGAGGCATGTCAGAGCTGCAAAGAGGGACTGAAACCTCAGGAAGTTATGGATATTATACATCCCCATGGTTGCTATGGGGGGAAATTTTGAAAGTCAAATAAAAATATATGCTTTAAGGGGGACACATACCTACATACACACACCCCTATACACACACACACACACACACACACACACACACACACACACTTGTATAAGATTGTGCTTCTTGAGAATTCAAAGTAGCTCACACATTAAGATTTTCATGGAGAAAGAAAAGAGGATAGAAGTAGTCATAGTTTGGAGGAGAGTAATAGTGACTGGCACTATGGGGTAGAAAGAATCAGCAATAGCACAAAATAGATAGGCCAGAAAGAGACAGTGGAAGTGTAAGGTAAATTAAGACACCACTGCAAACCAGCAGGAAGGAGACATATTAGCCAACAAATGGTAGAGGGAAATGGGAAATTCTGTACAAATAGTGTAGGTTAGAACTTGATTTCTCCTATAGACTAGAGGTCAATAGGGTGTTTATTAGAGCTTTTTTCATGATAATCAAAAATCAGAAACAACTCAAGTGACTAGCAAAAATGGATAGTCTGGAACTGGAGAGATGGCTCAGTGTTAAGAGCACTGGCTGCTCTTGTAGAGGATCTAGGTTCGGATCCCAGCACCTACATGACAGCTGACACTTTCATGGACTTTGCATGACGTGGGTGTACTTACATGCAGGTAATACAATACACTCATTCATGCTGATGGTGGGCTATAATTCATTTGTTTTCATTATTTCGTTGTATTCCAGTGTAAGACTATCCACTAAAAATATTTTATTTATTTTTTATTTTATTATATATTATTTATTATTTTTATTTTATGTGTATGAGTATATTACCTGCATGTATATAAGTGTACCCAGTTACATGCAATGTCCATGGAGGCCAGAAGAAGGAGTTGGATCCCCTGGATCTGGAGTTACGAATGATTGTTAGCTGCCATGTGGGTGAGTTGTTTCTGATTTTTGATTATCATGAAAAATGCTCTAATAAACATCCTTATTTACCTCCAGTCATACAGATGCAGAAGTTTCTCTTGGGTACATATCCTGGAATGAAATGATTGGACCAGAGGGTATGTTCATCTCTGATTTACTATACATAAGTTAGTGCAGTATGTCAGAAGAGTACTTTGAAAATAAGTGTAAAAAGTATATGATGATAGAAATAATATGATCAACAGTTCTACAAATTTATGTTAACATTAACAAAGATATAATTAGGAAGCTTTGTGTTATAACAATACTCCTGTTATTGTTTATAATAATGAAACATTTTGGAGAAACAAAAATAAAAAATTACAAGTAGGAGATTAGTTCAGTAACTGCTACATTCATACTATGCAATTATTAAATAGGATTATATATATTTATTGACATGTAAAAATGTTATGTTTTAATGTATAAGAAAACAAAGTGGAATACATGTAAAGTGTGATCTATATGGTAATAGAAAGTAAATTAGACATGTAGTAGAATTATGATTAGTATTCCTTCTTTTTATATTTTTTTGATATTATGTGCATTTTAAAAATATGGGTATTTACTAAATTTACAGTCAGAAAATATAACCATTTTAATTAGGAGAATTGTTTCCTGAGTCAAATGAAAAGACAAACTAAAAACTTCAAGTAATAGTTGAATATAAGAAATGGTTGCTGTACTTAATATACAAAGAATCCTTACAACTGAATAACAGTGATAAGACAATAGGAAAAGAACAAAAAGTTTTCTCTAAATAAGTAGCAGCAGTCAATAAATATATGAAACACTTCAATGTTAGCTTAAATATAAGACATGTAGTCAGTGAATGAAGAGCTCTCTTTTGTGCGTGCTCTGTACATACACATCCCTATGTGAAATTTGCAAATATTTAAAAATGTAATAAAAGATACAGCTCATTGTGGAAATAATGCATTGGTAGTTTTTTGTTTTTTTTTTGTTTTTTTTTTTTGGTCTTTTTCAGACAGGGTCTCCCTGTAGCCCCAGCTGGCCTGGAACTCTCTGTGTAAACCAGGCTGGTCTCGAACTCACAGAGATCCACCTGCTTCTGCCTCCTGAGTGCTGGAATTAAAGGCATGCACCACCACATCTGGTTTTTGGTAGATTTTCTTAAAACTCATGAGTGGGAGCATGGGTAAGCATCACTTTAAAAAAAATCATGTGATGATACATAATAAGAACCTTTAAAATTTAGAGTACCACAGTTTTGGAAAAAAAATATGCTCTTTAGATTTCAAGATTTCTGGGAAAATAATCAGTATTTTGGTGTATTTGTGACTTCATGTTCAGATGACATAAAGATACCTGCCAATTTTCAAACAGAGCATGGAGCTGCAATCTCACATTCAACTTAAAGAAAAATTTGATCATGTCTCTTTCCTACACTTTTATAAGTCCTTTTTTCCCAGAGAAAAAAAGCACTTTCTCACAATCACACCTTATTCATGACATGGGTTTTTGGCAGCACCTACATTTGTGAGCAACTATTTTCTAGAATGAAGCATGCTATAAGTAAAATTAGAACCAGAACATCTGCAAGCGTCTTGAGAACCCACTGAGAATTACAACTACTTCATCAAACACATATTGATGCATTAGTGTCTCAAACACAATGTCAAATATACCACTAGTGCTGTTGCCCCCTTTTAATTTACTAAAAGTCAAAAGCTGGAGAGATGGCCCAGTTGTTAAAAGCACCGATTACTCTTGCAGAGGACCCAGGTTTGAGTCCCAGCATCCACATGGTGGTTAACAACCATCTGTAACTCCAGTTCAGGGAATCCAACATCCTCTTTGACCATTGTATGACACGGGTGCACTAACACACATGCAAGCAATACACATTTATGCACATAAAATAAAAATAATAAAATATTAAAATATTATAATGATGAAAATTTGGAAACCATTTAACTTCTAAACAGTAGACAATAAATAATTAGATCTATTTGGACACAATTGTGCCATATAGTCAATATAATATCTTTAAGTAACAGATTTAATGATACAGAAAGAAGTCTTTGTAGTAAATAAACAGCATCAGGACAGAAACTATAATATGAGGCAAGTATGGTGGCTTGCGCCTGTAATTTCATCGCTTAAGACACTGAGGCAGAAAGAGTGCTATCAGTCTAAATAGCCAGGGCTACATAGTAAGTTCTGGGCCAGCCTGGGCTATAGAGGGAGACTCTGTCTCCAAAACTCTAAAAACAGGGGTTGGAGAGATGGCTCAGCAGTTAAGAGCACTTGCTGCTCTTGCAAAGGACCCTGTTTCCAGGATCCACATTTGGCAGCTCATAACCACCTGTAATTCTAGTTCTAAGGGTTCTGATGCCCTCTTCTGACCTTCAAGGGCACTTGCATATGTGTGGTACATATATACAAGCAGGCACACACACACATACATGTAAATAAAAATATAAAAATAAAAGTCTAAAGGGGCTGGAGAGATGGCTCAGCGGTTAAGAGCATTGACTGCTCTTGCAGAGGACCTGGGTTCGATTCCTAGCATGCACATGGAGGCTATGAACCGTCCTTAACTCCAGTTCCAGGGAAATCTGAAGCCCTCTTCTGACCTCCGTGGTATTGCATGACATGGGTGTACTCACATACATGCAGACAGTACACTCATACACATAAAATAAAAATAATAAGTAAAATGTAAAAAAAAAAAACCTAAAAAGAACAATGAACAATTCTGCATATGTCTTATATTTTTTTACAAACTGGTTATATTTAAAAAAATGGGGTATTCAAAAAAACTCATTCTACCTGTACATCCATGTTTGTTTGTTGCTGCTCTTTTCACAATAGCTAAGAAATGGAAACAACCTAAATGTCCCTCAACTGATGAACGGAAAATGAAAATGTGGTACATTTACATAATGGAGTTCTACTCAGCAATTTGAAAAGATGAAATTATGAAATTCACAGGTAAATGGATGGAACTACAGACTGTTATACTAAGTGAAGTAACTCAAACTCAGAAAAGCAAGCAGCATATGTTCTCCCTCATTTGCAGACTGTAACACCAAATCCTTATGTGTAAGTATATATCCTGATGTAACAGCAGGAGCCAGGAAAATGGAAATGAAACACAGAGGTAAAGGGAAAGAAAAGGCCTAAAAGAGGGGGATAGTAGGGAACAGGTGCCACCGGAGGAAGGTGGAGAAAGTGGGAGTGTTTGGGTGGGACAAAGAAGGAGGGACATGCAGTTCTGGAACCATGAGGGTGGGGGAAGAGGGAACTCAGGAGAAGGGTGATATGGGAGGTAGGTGTTTTGGAGGGGGAGGATGGGGATAATGGGGAAGCTTGGACTGGGGAGGGAAGAAGGAGGTTGGATGGGGAGAGAGAGGAGAGGTGAGTGGATCATGGGTAGTGTGGGAAGACAGAGGGAAACGTGTTGGCTTGGGAACCCCTTGATAAAAACACATTTGGTATCTGAACATTAGTACATGTGTATAACTGGGGGCTGTATGGCAAGGAGTACAGTGCCAGACAGGAGAGACCTCCCTTTGAGGTCTCTGTTGGTCAGAGTAGTCCAAGAGACTCCCCAAATAACAGAGGCTATTGCTGGAGCCCTTGATTGTCTCCCAGAACTTGAAGGTAAGACCCTACAGCTGAAGACAGGTCATAATTTAGACACAGGACTTGAAGCAATGAAGTTGGAACTGACCTGCAAGTCATTTCCCTGAAGACTAGCTCTCATAGTTCTGGAGGATACTATGCAAGCTGCTAAGGGAGAAAATCAATCAGTGGTCTAACTCAGTACTAAAGATGATTAAACATAATGACTGGCATAGCAAACTACCCTTATTGGTGCCATAGTGGCACTGTTATCTGGGGGGTAATCAACAGCTATCTAATTGGACTTAAAACCCTTTCAATGGGAGTGAATTCATGGGTGACACTGTAAATATAGTCAAATGTGCATGCCTGGAGAGGTCATAGATTCTATAGAAAACCATATCTCTGGCATATCTCTAGAAAATGAAATTTCTTACTATATCCTAAATATGAATCCTTATATTTATAGACAAGCATACAGTACACCACTCATCAAAGGAGCTTCTTTTTGCAACAGATGGAGGCTACTGCAGAGTTCCACAACTGGTCACACATGGAGAATATACATCTGAGATCTGCCCAGCCCTAGGTAACACACCTACAGCAGAACCTCTACATCTAAGGCTCAGGGAACATAGCGGAACAGGGGGTGGAGAGAATACCAGTGCATCTCTCAACTCTCACCAGTGAAGCTTCCTTATACAACAGAGTGTGATGCACTCAGAAGGCCACAACTGGCTAAATTTTAGAGAATAAGAGACTGCAGAGTGTGTGTCCTTGGATAGGACTCCTATATTAAACCACACCTACCGATGGCTCAGGGACCATTGCAGAAGAGAGGGTAGAAAGATTGTAAGAGCCACATGTGGTCCACGAACATAGGGAATCAGAGGCTTTTAGGCCACTGGAGACTTGTGAACTTGTGGCAGACGTCGAGCATAAGACCCATTCCAACTCAATCAGACAAGGGCTCAGAGTGGTGAGAGGGAAATGGCCAGTGTTCCTTCCCTAGACTGAGAACTGTTGGAGATTGATTAGTGCTGGGTGGGAGAGCTGACTTTCCTTAAGATCTCTAATTAGGTGGAATAGATTCCAGTGGATGAACTTGCACTGAAGGACATCCGGGTAAAATGCTTGATTGGATGGGACTTAACATGTATGGCAGAATACATGGAGTCCAGTGGGGGCGGCATGGATGGGGAAGGGGGTCTTTATTTGATTAAGAACTGCTATATGAAATGTACAAAAGCTCAATTAAAATATTTTTAAAAATGGGGTATTAAGCGGGGGCTGGAGAGATGGCTCAGTGGTTAAGAGCCCTGGTTACTCTTGCAGAGGACCTTGGTTCAGTTCCCAGCATCCACATGGCAGCTAACAACTGTCCATAATTCCAGTTCCAGGGGATCTGACATCCTCTTTTGGCTTCTGCAGGCATTTGATGACATGGGTATACTTACATTCATTCAGGTAAAACACTTATACACATAAAAATAATAATACAACATTTTTTCAAAATGCTAAAAGAAAGTATACCTTCGAGATTAAGTTTATTCCTAGTTAACAGAATTAGCACTACTTTCACTTTCCTTCTTTTTATCCATTGAACCATATGAACTCGTTAATAGTTTATCTGTTTTCTTCCTTCAAAAAAGGCAATTTCATATGCTTAAATGAGTACTTTACTCAGTCTTCCTTAGTTTTTACAGTTAACCTATTTTTCTTTTAATAATCAGAAAATGACTTAGAAGTATTTGCATGAATGTAGAAGAACTAACAATGATGATTATAACTTTTGTTGGAAAGTCCTTTTGCAATTATTATTATGTAGTAAGTGTTCTTCGAGCAATACAGTATCTTACAAGGACACGGTGGCACATAAATAAATGGCATTTTTATTTGAAATGTATAGGGATGAGTTGGCAGTAGCTGAAGGGAGATGGACCCTAATTTGTGAAACTATTACTGGGGAGAGGCTGGCCATCCTGGGTCCTTTATTTCTTTCCAGTTTTCCCCTTTCATAATTCTTTTTCTCCCTCCCCCCTTTTTGTCTGGTTTTATTTTCAGGGGGTAAAAAGGTATCAAGATTGCAGTTTCTCCTAAAAGTTCTACATTCCTTTGGCTGCTAGGAATCAGTATGAAATAGTATCAAGTTCAGAAATAAGCTTATATCTGAGAGCAAACCGTGTGTGGCACAACAGTAATCTAAACTTGACCTCAAACTCAGTGTGTGTCCTTAAGAAGGGCACAGTACAGTGATCTATTTTTGCCACTCACTTAACTCCCCTGGGTCCTACACATTTTCATTAAAGAGATCAGAATTAGTGGTGGCCTTGGACAGTACAGTAGCTAAGTTGGGGCCAGGAGGAAGATGAGGAAATGACCTTGAAGTTAGTAAGATTCAGGCCTGACAAACAGTAGATCAGGAAAATGAGAATTTTCTTTTCTGTTTAAAATGCAAGAGACATGAAGCATGCCAATGACAAAAAATTTCTGAGGTCAATTTAGTTAACAACCATTTAATTAAATTAATTTATTTTGGTTTGGTTTTGTTGTTTTTTTAAGTGAAGTTTTGCTGGATAGCCCAGGCTGCTCTCAGACTTGTGTTGATCCTCCTGTCCTGCCTCAGTGTTTCCAATACTAGAAATATTGGCATGAGCTACCACACACAGCCTAACAAAGAACTTCTGACTCCTATTTAATTTTTTCTTCTTTTTTTCCTAAGATTGGCAATGACAAAACACACTTTTTTTGGACGAGTCCTAAATCTAGCTTGAGAATTCCTATGTTCTTTCTTGACAAATATTTATTCTTTGGATCTAAACGGGAGGATGGTTTTGCTAATATAAGGGACAGGAATTTGGCAAAGCAGAGCCTTGTTGCCAAAGAGTGTGAAAGCCTAGAGCTGTTTATTATCCTTTTCCCTGACTTTAGGTCATAGACCATCCAAGGCCCTTTCAAAGCGCACACCGAGATTCTGGCTTCTGGGTTGCAGTACCTGACACTGAACGTCCTGCTGGAAGACCAAGTGAGGGCAGGAAACCCAGCAGCTAGCTCCCTGCCACTGACGCAGGGGTCTCCAGCTCACCCGGGAGAACGTGGCTTATCTTTACTACATGCACATCAGTCTGTTTCATCTCTGCAGCACTTACGTCATTTCCTTTGGCAAGTGAGCAAGAAGCCTTGATTCTCGAAGCATGCCAATTGTAGATCGCCAGTGGTGATTCTCCAGCACAGACATATTCTAGAAAGAAGAAAACAAAAGCTATAAAGGAGACAGGAGCCAGATAATGATCTTTCACAGCTGAACACATCTCACTGACAGCCAGCTTTTCCCCTCCAGCCTGAGACAGACCAGAAAAGAAAACCAAAGCAAAAGCACCACCAGGCCTGCCCTTAAGGCTATGATGACAGTGGGGTGTACAGGGCCCTCCGGGATCCCTGACTTTAGGGTGAATAATTCTGTTCCAAACACTTGTGCCGCTGTTCTCGCCTTCCATAACTCAGGTGACCCTACATTTAGGAGAGCAAAATGAAGCCGTTAAAAACAGGCCCTAATAGAGGTTCATAGTCATGACATTTAAGATTGTCTAACCAAAGTGAGCACAGGCAGGTGTCATACTTCTGACCTAGTCTGTTGTGCTGAAGGTGGTTGAAAAGAGCTTTCTGTGCCAGGACTCCCACTGCAGTCAGCACCACGATCAGACTCAATTTCGTTTTGATTCATTAGACTGCTGGTGATTTTATATATATATATACTTATTTTATTTTTAACTATAGGTATGAGTGTGTGTCTCTGTGTGGGTATGTGGAAATGATTGCAGGAGTTGGCAGAGGTCTGAAGAGGCCATTGGATCCCCTGGAGTTGGAGTTGCAGGCAATTGTGAGTTGTTGGATGTGGGTCCTCTTTGAGGGCAATATGAGCTTTTAACCACTGAGCATCTCTCCAGTCCCCAGGGATTATTTTATGTGCACTAAAGTTTAAGAATCACTGTCATGGAGACAGCTCTCTGTACCTTCATAACCAGAATATTGACATTTGACCTATTAGGTCTGTGAATTGAAATCTATAGCTGTTTCTTTGCTTAATTATCTTGTGTGGGAACCTCTATTATGTGCAGCTTTTCCCTTGAACTTGTTACTATAAGTATGCTTACTATGTGAACATTTAATTAGCTATTTAAATAGCAAATATATTTTATCATCCATATGTGTATTTTCAAATGAGTTGACATTATGGACTTATTACTTTTGTAGACTGTCTTTGAACTTATTAGTAGCCCAGACTGGCCTTTAACTAACAATCTTCCTGCCTCTTGAGTTCTGGGATTTTAGGTATGTGCAATCAAACCTGACCTCTATAATATTTTATGAGGAATTTTAAATTTACAAAAAACTAAAAAGAATTTGCATGTTCAATTACACTTAAGTGAGGCACCTCATGTAGTTATAGACATGGGGACAGAAAGTAGAATGCTAGTTTCATGGACCAGAGGCATGGGAGGATGGGGAGTTAATTGCTTAATACGTATAGAGTTTTGTTTTTGGAAGATGAAAAGTGTTCTTGAGGTGGAGGATGGTGACGGTGGTATGCCATCATAACTGTACTTAATACCACTGAATTGCATACTTCAATATTTTACATTGTACATTTCACCACAGTTCAAAAAAGTGAAGGGAAAGAAACAAGGGAAATAATGTAGATACTAAAGATGGAAACTTTAGTATCTTTAGTAAGGTGCCCCTTACTGGGGCTGAGCCTCTTGTAAAAGCCTCAACTTTTTCAGCAAGTTGAAAGAGTGACATAGTCTATGGTCCCTTAGGAAGACAGATGCTCAGGAAATCTGCAGCTATTCTTGCTTCTAAATCAGACAAGGATTTCTCTCCAGGACTGTGTTGTGAAGAGTGTCCCGAGGTTATACCTTGAACCCATGCCTGGATAGACTGTTAATTGCATTTGTCTCTCTCTCTCTCTCTTGCCAAGCACTCATTATTTTTATTTACCACTTGACCATGTTTGAACTGGTGATGAGATTTTATTACTTTCATTCACTGGTCTATTATTTCCTTTTGGGCATGAGCCACACTCAACAAAAAAAAGGATGTTTGTTAGAAAAAACATGCTAGACTAATTTGTTCTGATTGTAAAGATTCATGAGCATGGAGAGCAATCGGTTAGTGTGATGTAACAGATGTTCAGTCCTGCAGTGACATTTAATTCAGCTCCTCATTAGTTCACTTGCCAGACTAATTCAAGCAGATATGGACATGAGCAACTACACATGATTTTTTTCAAGTGGCCAGAAAACTGAAACAAAACCTAATGACAAATGACACTATAATTCCTTTTAGTGGAACCTAAGTGTCAGGAGGATGACCGTTGGTACTCTTTTTTATGCCAGCCTGACTTACATCTTCATTAATGATCTTTTCTGCAGACAGAAGATGAGGGGGCTTGAGAAATTTGCTAGTGAAACTGTATCTGGATAGGAGCACCAGGAAAATGGAAGGAAAATAAGCAAGCTTGGAAGTTGCTACTGATGGAGACAGTAGAGTCTAGGATTGCAAACACTCCTTGTGGTCCTAGACTCCAGAACCTTGTTGGAATCAGGGGCATGTCAGTGGGCTACCAGGGAGTAAGAAATGAAGGACAGCATAGAGAGAGGGCATAGCAAGCACAGTCTTTCTGCCAGGCACTGTATTTGACTTTATTTAATTCTTATCCAGCTTTCAGATATTCTTAACTCTTGTGTGATAAAAACTCAGCTTTCTGGGGACTGGAGAGATGGCTCAGCAGTTAAGAGCACTGACTGCTCTTGCAGAGGACCCAGGTTTGGTTCCCAGCACCCATGTGGTAACTTACAACCATTTCTAACTTCAGTTCCAGGGAATCTGACACCTTCTTCTGACCTCCATGGGCATTGCATTATACAGGTGCACTTACATAAACACAGGCCATACACTTATACACATAAAGAAGAAGTAATAATAAAAAAAAATCCGCTTTCCAAGTGAGACCTTGTATGTTAAGTAAGACTGGCATACAGTTAGTGAGTGGCTGAGGAGCATCTTCGACTCAGGTCTGCCAGAATTAAAATTCAGACTCTGCACATGATCCTTGCTGCCTCCCAAGAGATTTCTGTGTTGCTATTTTTTTTCTTTTTTTAAACATTTTATTTATTATTTTTATTTTATGTGTATGCATGTATTGCCTGCATGTAGGTAAGTGCACCTATGTTGTTCAATGCCCGTGGAGGACAGAGGAGGCTGTCAGATCCCCTGGGACTGGAGTTATGGACAGTTGTTAGCTGCCGTGTGGGTGCTGGGATTCGAACCTGGATCCTCTGCAAGAACAACCAGTGTCCTTAAACTCTGAGCCATCTCTCCAGCCCGTGTTGCTGTTTTTAAGCACCCAGAAGCCAGGACTTCATAAGCTCACAAATACCTACAATTAGACTTAATTTTGCCCATTCTTTTCAGAATTGAGATATACCAATGTGGAAGTCATTCAGTTATAGCCTATTTATTTGTAAATATTGGTATTTTAAATCATTCTTTTGTGTATTAAATGTATCTAAAGGAAGCTAAGTATCATTTACATTTAATGGCCATTCATTTCTCCTTGAAAAAAAGCATATGAATAATTTGTTACTTAAGTCAGAAATTGTAAATTAAAAATTTACCTCTGGAACTTATGTTTTCTTTTATTTTTGTGGAGATTGTGGAGATAGGACCCAGGACCTCTTGCATGCCAAGCTAGATATATGCTCTACTACTGAGCTATACCACCAACCCTAGAACTTATGATTTCATTCTATTCCCCATAGAGTCTGGTTATTTATTTACTTTTATGTGTGTATGTGGTGCATGCATGTATATGCATGTGTGTGTGCTCATACTTGCACCCATCCAGAGGCCAGAGGAGAACGTTGGTGTCATCCTCTATCATTCTTTGCCTCACTCCCTTGAGACCAGTTCTCTCATTGTAACCTGAAGCTAGACTGGTGGCCGGCAAGCCTTAGTGATCGTCCTGCCTCTACCTCCCCCTCTGCCCAGCGCTAGGGTTACAGGTATATGTAGCTACATTTGGATTTTCATAAGGGTTCTGGAGACCTGAACTCCGGTCCTCATGCCTGCACATCGAGTGTTCTTATCCACTAGGCTATCTTCCCTCTCCTAGAATTTTATTTTAATGTCGTGTATTTATATCTGTGAAAATCTTTTATTGTAGCTGCTTCACATTTCTCAGCAACAAAAATAAGCCTATATGTTGAAAGTTTAGTTTAAAAGATTTCCCTAACATTGGGCTACAAGAATCAAATATGTTTTGAGCTTGAATCTATAGTTCGCTTGTCATTAGTAACTGGCCGAAAGCGCATGTGTACTGCAAATCTGGAAAAGATATTGTTTAATAATTATTGACAATATAATATTTTATGAGGCGACTGGGGAGGGGTATTCAGAGCCCTCACTTCAGGAGGCATCTCTTCATATTTCTAATGATTCATTTAGTGTTTCTTTTGATATTTTATTTATTATTTTTATTTTATGTGTATGCGTGTATTGTCTGCATGTAGGTAAGTGCACCTGTGTCGTGCAATGCCCGCGGAGGACAGAAGAGGCTGTCAGATCCCCTGGGACTGGAGTTATGGACAGTTGTTAGCTGCCATGTGGGTGCTGGGATTTGAACCCCGTCTTCTGCAAGAACAGTCAGTGTTCTTAACCACTGAGCCATCTCTCCAGCCCTCATTTGGTGTTTTTATACTGGAGGTAATATGTAACCTGACACAGTATGGGTAAGAGGTTTGTCTTTCTTTTGTAAAGTGGAAATAAGATTATTGTGATATGTGTGTAAAGAAGTAAAACTGGTTTGGCTGCTCTGCAGGCACGTGCCTGGCAGGCTCATTTAAAGGCATCAGTACAAATTCTGCACACTGTTCATGCTCAAGTATGACTTGAAAAGTCTTCATCTATCCCCATGTGCACACATACCCTGTTTGGAAACTGCTGCTATCCATGTGTACTGCTGAGGGCAGGGAACAGTTTTTACTAATTTTTGGTTCATAGTATGTGGTACAGTACCACTAAACAACTAAATATTTGTTGAATAGATACTGAATAATTTCCCAAACTCCAACATTCAATAGCTGTAAAGTTTCAAAGAACTGTTAAAAGAAAAAGTGTCTTTTTGCAACAGATGGAGACTATTACAGAGTTCCACAACTAGTCAGACACAGAGAATAA